ATGTAGAATAAAAAAAAAAAAAGAGGAAAAAAGGAGGAAGGTTCTTGATCTTTCTCTCCTTGGAGCCCCCTCCCCCCAATTCCGGCCATCACCAGCATCCGCATCGTCACCATCACCACCATCATCATCGTTGACCATCACCTCCAATTTCGATCTCCATCTCCAGCAACTGTAGGTTTCTTCATCCATCTCGCTCCATCGTCAGAAATCCATCTCCAGATCTACTTGTTTCCGCCCCATAGCAATTGCAAGCCACAGATCTGGGAGTTTTTGATGAGTGGAGAAAAGAGAGAATATCTCTCTCTGGCGAAAGAGAAAGAAGTAGAGGAAGAAAGTTGGGTAGGGTTAATGAGATATTATTATTTATATTGCCAAATTGTTGACAAAATTACAAAAATTGCCATCATTTTAGGAAAAAATCATTAAAAATATTCTAAAATTGAAAAAAAAAAGTTTTGGACTAGCAGTAAATTCAATAATTTGGAGGCCTATAAGGTAAATATGGTAATGACTTCCAATACCAATTTCGTATCACAGTTTTAAATAGTATTGCCATATTACCATTTATACCTACCATATGGTAATTTCTCGTACCATTTCCGTTGGTAATGGGACGGTATAATAGTAATTACGACATTTATGGTATAGTGCCCATTCTTAGACAACACTTATACACTAGGCTGCCCTATGCTGCCCGCCTTAACTTGGGTGGCAGGGCAATATTGCTCTACCCCTTTTTTTGGGTTTTTTTTTTTTTTTTTGAAAAAATTAAACTACATTATTTTGTTTTTCAATTCTTTTAACAAATAAAGAATAAACAGTATTTGTTGGTTTTGAAAGTTAATAAAAGGCAAGAAAACCCTAAACGCCAAGCATTTAAGGTTTTCTATCACTTCAGTTCTACTTCTTCTTCAATTTAATTAATTGATTTTAATTACGTTGATTCTAAACTTTTATTAACTTTTGTTGACTAATTGATTTTAGATTTTTAAATATATAAATTTTTATTTTTTTTTTAATTTTATGAATTTTTCATATTTTTATTTTTATTTTTTCATAAAAAAATGATGCACAAATAGTCAAGGCAATCTAAGCATCGCCTAAGCTCTAGGTGGAGGTCCGTTGCCTAGAGGTGCCTAACACCTTCAGCAACATTGGTCACAAGTGTGAGTTGAATTAAGATGCACAGCAAATAAATGAAGAAGAAAACAAAATGCAGAAAAATAGCAAACACAGTAATTTATGCAGTTCACTACCACAACTTGTGATAGCTACATCCACGGGAGAAGGAGAACACCAAATCCACTATGAAATCAATGATTTACAAGAGATTTGAATAGCCAAAATCACTCAAACCACACTCCAATAGGAGTCCCCAGTACATCCAAGCTCACTCTACCCGAGAAAACCCCTTTGATCCTAAAAGAACCACCTTGTTTTCTCTTATGGTGGTTGTTGGCTAACTCTCACCCCATTTACCCTCAAAAAAGCTCCTTTATATTTATAGGAGTACAAAAGGATAATATGGTAATTAAAGAGAGAGCCCAAAATGCACAGCATCACTAAAACATACTTGTAAGGCTTTAAAGACTGCATTTTCTGGTATATACCAAATTATGAACCTTTATTGGTTTCATAATCTGCTGCCAACTTCATAAGGCTTTAACATGATTTCAAGGCATTCCTCACAAATTGCTACCTTGACTTGAACTTCATCAAATCTCCAAAGTGAATTTATCCTAGCTCAATCCTTTTCCATGCCTCAAAGGGCTCCTACGACATCATGCCGAGCAAGTCCAAGCAATGCTTGAACTTGTTAACTGGGAGGGACTTTGTCAACATATCTGCTGGATTGTTTTTAGTATCAATCTTCTTCACAATAATCTCACCAGAGGAGACTACATCCCAACAAAATGAAACCTCACATCAATGTGCTTTGTTCTCTCATGAAACATGTAGTCCTCAGCCAAACAAATAGCACTTTGGCTATCACAATGCACATCAATAGCAACACAATCCAAGCTAAACTCCCCAACAAGTTCTCTCAACCATATTGCTTCCTTAAAAGCCTCTACCATTGCCATATACTCTACTTCAGTAGTAGACAAAGCTACTGTACCTTACAAAACAGCTTTTCAGCTGATAACACTACCACCAAGAGTAAAAACATAACCTATCAAAGACCGCCTCCTGTCAAGATCATCGGCATAGTATGAATCAACATAGCCTTACGCACATGTCCCATCTTTCTTGAACTCAACACAAGTTCCTATAGTGCCTTTCAAGTATCTCAAGATCCACTTCACTATTGTCCAATGTTCCTTAACAGGATTAGACATATACATGTTCACAACACTAACTGCATGTGAAATATCCGGTCGAGTACAAACCATAGCATACATCATGCTACCCACCGCACTAGAATATGGAACATGAGACATGTACTCAAGATCTTCATCTGACTGAGGACATAACCAAGTTGACAATTTGAAATGAGATGCTAAAAGAGTACTCACAGGTTTGGCATCTCTCATGTTGAAATGTTCAAGAACCTTTTCAACAAATTTCTTTTGTGAAAGCTTAATTGTTCCACCATGCCTATCCCTATGTATCTCCATACCAAGGATCCTTTTTGCTTGACCCAAATCCTTCATTTCAAACTCACTACTCATCTCTTTCTTTAACTTGTCAATGTCTTCCTTTCTCTTGGCAATAATCAACATGTCATCAACATAAAGTAACAAATAGATAAAAGTGCCATCAACAAGCTTTCTAAGGTAGACACATTGATCATACATGCTTCTATCATAACCATGACTCACTATAAAAGAATCAAATCTCTTATACCATTGCCTCGGAGACTGTTTTAGGCCATAAAGAGATTTTTTCAACAAGCAAACATGA